CAAAAATTTTTCATTAACTTTAAAGAACCAAAAAAATAGGTTAAAAATGAAAATTTGGACTGATTATTTTTAACATATTAAAAATCAAATCAGTAATAATTTGAAAACAATTTTTTTTTCTTTTAATTATTATTTTATATGTAATTAGTAATAATATAAAAAATTAGAACTGATAGATAAAGTCTAATTGCAGATTTGAAAACAACGCGAAAATTTAATTTAGAAAAGTATATTTTTGCTTCTGATGAAAGTTTCTTGAAGTCCAGTGCATTCATTTATAGTAACAAACAGTTTTTATTGATAATTATTGTATCAAGCCCTTTAAATTTTTATACACGTAAAAGTAAAGCAAAATATAACTTCTTTATTATTTTTATAATTTTTCCGTTTACATACAATATTAAAAAAACCCAGCACAGGGGGGTCGTGGCACAGTGGTGACGTGGATAGTTGGATCAAGTATAATAATATCTGACAGTGATTAAAATCACTATCAAAAATAAACGCTTCGATGCAAATCTTTAGATAGTATTTAATTTAAAAAAATTGGTGTATTATTCCAAAAGCTACATGATTTGCTAGTTCCTTATTAATATCCTGATTAAGATATAGTATGTCAAATGAAAAAGAGATTATTAAAAAATATTATTTCTCATAAAAAAATAATGTTGATCCATACACTTTTCAATATGTCATAGCATTATAAAGTTAAAAATGTAAANATTTATAGCACTTAAAAGTAAAAAATATAAATTATAAAATCGAGAATTTTCACACAAAAATAGCATTCGATACACATTTTCACCATGAAGACAAGTCTAGAGGTCAAATTTTTTTTTTCAAATTAAAGTATATTACATAAGCTTTAATTTAAGATATATATAAAAGTGTCAGACCTTATATTACAAATATTATATAACAAATATTTTTAAAATTTAATAATTCTACAAATTTTAGGTTAACGACAATATACCAACACTTAGTTTAATTTAATAAATATTAAATATAACCGCACTGCAAAAATTGTATTTTATGAAATTATATATCGCTAATAGCCCTGAGTTTTACGAAGCATGGCGAATGAATTTATATGTATTTATATATAGGGTGTTCAGTATATTATACACCTGCATTCATAAAAAAAAACAATATGGTGCCTGATTAAATCAAATCATAGGATCAAGTAAAACCGCCCTCGAAACGTGACCCATAATGGCTATTAAAAATTAATCTCTTTCTAACAGGTATAAACAGGTTAAAATATTATATGACACCACTTCAATATATGAAGTATCGCTTCCAATCGTGTAACAAAAAAATTTACTAAAACAGATGATGTAGTGATGTAAAAGTAAACTAATGTCATATAGATGCACTAGTATACAACTGAACTAATATAGCACTAATGAATTAATGATGTTTAGAAACAATGACGTAAAGGGAAGCTATTGTCGTGGTAACAACTATTATAAAAATTATGCTAAAACTCCGATCACGCTGTTCTAAAAAAAAACATTTATATACTACTACTCCCTGAAATTAAATGAAAAATGTTATTTTGGTGTAAAAATCACAATTTTTCGTGTTATAATTTTATATTTATATTCTTTAATTTAGCTTCGATGCGAAGCTGAGAAGGTATAGGTTTTACTAAGATGTGTTTTTTTTTTTTTTTTTTTTCTGTTACCACTTTTTCTCAGCTCTCACCGAACCAATTTC